TACTTAGATTCAAGATTATGGTGATTGTCACAGAAGCAACAAGGGAGGACCAGCAGAAGAGCGATCAAGAGTGGTGCACCCATTTTGTACTAAAACGACTGTTTACCACAGCCTAGCTCTGTTCTTTATAGAGCTGTAGTCTATTCTCGATTTGATAACAACATGCAGGTGTGTACAACAGTGAGTGATGTGTGTACATGCAAATCACATGCACTCCATTCCAATATTCCATAACAAAGTATAAGGGTCGCTGTTACTCTACTACACATCAGCACTATGCAATTATAATCTCACACGACTGTCTCATGCAAACAAGAACACAAATTTTATGCTAACATACATGCAAATGTCATGCTAATAGCGTATCTGACAATGCAAAAAATCTGTCGTCAATTTTGTGTTCCCAACAAAGCATGTTCAGTGAGTGCTTAGTGAGCTGAGAAGCCTTATAGCATATGGAGCAACTTCAAAAATAATAAAAAATCCAAATTTGATTGGAATCAGCTCAAACTTAAGCACTATGCCAAAATCCTGTGGGAAACTCTGGATCAATTTAATGGTGTACAAGATCATCAAGATGGCAATTTGCAAAAAATGAATGATTGAGCTTATATTGATATTGATAAGCTCGACCATTAATTTTTGCAAATTTGCCATCTTGACGATTGGTTAAATATTGCAGCTGCTGTAGGACCCTCGACTGACTCGTCTCTCTTATCTCACCGGCTAAAAACATTTCATCAACGATGGCATAAACCTTTTAAAAAAGAGATATGAGAAGAATAATGTATCCACTACTAGGCAAAGGGAGGTTTTGACCTTGAGTACCTTATAAAAGTTGAAAACTAAGTCTAGTTCACAGACATTGTGGGAGAACTTGCTAAGAACAAAGCAAAATGAAATGAAATTGATGTAGAAATGACAAGAAAAATAAGAGAGAGAAAGGGAGAAATAAAGACCATTTTCTCATCGGGGAATCCAAAGGTGGAAGTGGTGGTCGTATTTCATGACACCAAATGGACTACAGGTTTATGGAGGCATGGAGGACATGAATAAAATTATTATTATCATAATTGACTATTAAAAATGCAGCAGATGAAAAGGGGCACAAATGAATGAAAAGGGCATGAATATTGAAAAGGGCAGAAAAAGTCCAATCCCTGTTTGCTAATCTAAGACAAAAAGCAGCAAAAAATGGAGTAGGAGAAAGAGTTAATTAAATGAGGATCATTGCAATCATAGCAAAGAGCAGCACTGTGACTGAGAGAGTAATCAATGACACAGCACCACCAGCACCACTGGTAGGATCAACAGAGTCAGGACACTCCAGCATTACAGGAGGTGCTTCATAAGGACAACCAATAGATGGCACATTTTGTGTTCTATTTGCATAGACTGACTAATGATGGTACAATAGTTCAGTAAACAATACTTTATTGGCAAAGAGTATATAACTTACAGGTCCATAGCAAAAAGAAAATTGAGAGCCAGTTGAGACTGAGTTCTCTAAGACTTCAGTTTCCTCGTGTGTCCAAGTGATATTATTAAATATCTCATCGACTTCAGACCTTGATAGACCATTATCTCGACTATTACTGAAAATTGAAGCAATTTCACTTTGACTGTGAAAATAGAAAGATAGCTATACAGGGCACAATTATGTACTACCTGTAGTGTCTTGATAAGAATTGTGTAAAACTTTGTGGATATGACAAACTATAACAGTCAGTCATTCCCATCCTTGGATAATAGTTCAGAAATGATAGACACATTTCCTCATAAGTGCTCTCCCCTCCCTATTATAAACAACATTCAAAATCTAATGCGAGAACAGCTTACCAATGTTACTGTGTTTCGATTTTCACTATTGTATGTGCAGGTCAGCATAATTCCATCACCCTGTCACAATAAACTACATTAAAATATGCAACAATTCAATTTCATAGTGTCTCTCACTGGTCTAATGACAACTTCATTAATATGCACTGTCTCTTGGAAGTTGAAATCATATACCGGGTTGCTATCAATTGGTTTAAGCTCTTCAATGCCCCTTCCTGATCTACACTGATTGCTAGCTCTCAGATGATGTAGAGTAATGCTTACACCAAGCAAATGAGTGTGAAGCAAATTAGCAAAAACATGGATCCCATCTTGAGGAAATAACTAAACACAAGATTATTGTACAGTACATAATATATTCCAATCATACTGTAGTGCAATCAGTTGGACAGAAGCTATAAATAGTGTAATCCCTTGCTTTAGGAGGTATTATCATGTATTGGTTCACTGCATGTCCAACTGCAAGTATACCAGAGTCATGCTCCCTTGGTGTATCAATGTAATAGAATGTCACACCAGAACTATCAACTACACCTAAAATAACAATGAGTAGACACTAATCTTATTGTGTGACTTAGTAACCTGATAGTCTGTTTGGATTATCATAGTGCATCTCAATGTACACGTATTGATACTGG